TGACTCCACACTGGCTCTCTAACCAATACTACAGCTCTGAAACACTGGGACCTTTGGTACAGAAAGCTACTTTTCTTTGAAGGGAAAGAGAGTAGAATGGAAAGACTCCTCCACCTCCAGCCCTCCTTTGAGCATTTAACTTTGCTTCCCATTTTGCTAGCTTGACAGAGTGCCACTTTCTTCACCTAGCCTCGCTCGCCTCCCAGGGAGCTGCATGGTGTTTTTATGTGAACAATGTAGGAGTGAGCAGCATTTTTGACAACTGCACTTCTTACATTGTTGTGAGGGAAAGTGCAGAAATGCCAGGATAGTAAAAACCACAGGAGGAACAAAGAGAAAGAGCGTAGAAGCAAACACTCCACGACACAGACTTTTTGTGCTATAGGGGCAAAAGCCATACTTGTTAAGAGAAAAGAAAATAGAAAGCAAGGGTGTACTTGATGCAGAGGCTTCTTAGTGAGAACCTGGAAGTACTACATCCAAGGCTAACCTGGATGACTGAACAAATTAATGGAGAGACTAGAAGTCCCCCTATGGCTTCTCTAGTTCAATCTATCCACCTGGAATGTGGTCTTCCTCTTTTCCCACTTTCCTCAACCTTACCAAGCATTATACATTCGTCCCTCCCTGTTTATGGACTTGGAGTCCACAGTTTTGGTCCTTTGTGGACGGCAAGCAGGGAGGGACAAAATGGAACCCGCACCTGGGCACACACCACCATTTAAATCAATGGGGCTCGGATATTTGCAATTTTCCCAATTTGCAGGATGGGTTGGTCTGGAACGGATCCCCTACGAATCGAGAGAGACGATTGTAATCTTTTCTAGTGAGTTATGTCTTCTCATAACACTGTATGCCCCAAATATACAGCCTCAGTTTACCAGTTTAACTGTCATGGCTCCATCCTATGGAATCATGGGATCTACAGCTTGTTGAGGGGCTTAGACATATCTGTAAATAGGCATTAGAGCACTCTGACAAAAAAAAGTACCTAAGCACATTAGAAATCCCAGAATCCTTCAATGTGGAGGAATGACAGTTAAAGTGGTATAAAAATGAAAGCTGTGGAGTACTGACATACCCTTAGACACCAATGCAGTAGCCATGTTATTCTCTTGCAGGGTAAAAAGGAGGAGAAAGTAAAAGGAACGTGGCAGCAGTTTTAAGAGAGAGTTCTCAACTCCAGGAAACTGATTTTTGGTAAGCTGGTCTATTGTTTTTACACATCACACTGACTGACCATGGTAAAGATCTGAAAGACCTATATCACTTTGCCCAGGCCTTTGAAAATTTAGGGCAAGGGACATGATCCTGGATCATACCAGGGTCCAAATTCCCACATGGTCATAAAAAGCCATAGGGCCTTAGAAGAAGGCAATGCCCAACCACCTTTGAATAAATTCTGCAAAGAAGACTCTAGGAGAGGGCCAACATAAGTCAGAATCAAGGTGAAGGTATGTAAGAACAAGAACATGGAACAACAAAACCACAAATACAACAATCGTTTTCTGGAAGAGTAGAGGAGTAAGAAAGCGAGAGAGCGATACTCACTCTTACGAAGCTGGCGGGAAACCATCCTTCTTCATCATCAATCTGTCCCCACCACCAGTCCTTGTTGGAGGCATCCAGGACCTTGATGACGTCTCCTGCTTTAAATGCCAACTCCCGGTTGGCCATGGTGACGTGATCCCATACTGCCTCGGCGCTTACAATAGAACCGCCACTGATCAGCTTGAAAAAACAAAACAAAATATGGGACAGTCAGGAAAGAAGTCCTCCTGGGGGAAAAAGACATCCCCCCCACTCTCCACCCAATTCATAGACACACACTGAGAGAAAACCAGTAGACATTTTTGTTCCCAACAAGAGCCTTGTTTGTTGACTCAATACTCCTCTTCCTTTTCTATAAAAGCTTGCATTAATGGGTTTCAGATATGCCTCTCAAACATGGTTGATAAAACTGTTTGATTTTCCAGGGAACTCCTTCACGCTCGACATCTCTGCCACAAGTGTCTTCAGATGGTGACTCAATGCACCAGGTGCATTTACAGAAGATGACACACTAGGGCTCCATGGGCACCCTGAGCTGCAGTCTTATAGTGCAGTGCTTCCCAAACCTTGGTCTTCCCAGAAGCCCCAGCCAGCTTGGCCAACAGTCAGGAATTCTGGGAGCTGAAGTCCAAAACATCTGGAGGATTGTACCCCGCCCTTCTGAGAACAATCGGAGCAGCTAACAATGTTAAAATACAGAGATACAATTATACACCCCAATACCCACCCACCCCTTAAAAAAGAAATCAATTGTAAAGTGGTGTCAAACTGCATTATTTCTACAGTCTAGATGCACCCTTGGTGAGTTAGGATTCTGTTGAACCCTAAAAGGGAGTCAGCTATCCAAGGCTATCAAATATAATGATGCCCATCACACGTTCTGCAAATATTTGAGCAATCAAGGATTTAGACAGTAGTCAACATCAAAGCTGGCTTATGTGCCTTCTGGGGTCCTTTTCTGGGGAACATATATTACAGAGAAAGTCAATTTCAGCTCTAGCAGTACTCTGTTCCAAACCCAAGCAATCATTCCATACCAGCGCAATCATTCCATCCCTTCGATTAAGTCCCACTAAAAGGTTCCCAGAGTCACTGTCATTTTTTTCCACTTGAAAGCTGCCCTTTAAATGGCTGAAGGAAGCATTCAGAAACCAGACTTTCTTCTCAGAACTTGCCAGGAACAAGGTAGAGGAAGCTGTGACCGCAATCAAACCCAAGCAGAGAGATCAGAAAGAAACGTTTCCATCCCCTTCCTTGTGCCTGCTCTACATCTGAGTGTATGTATGTGTGCAGAGGGTCAGTCATGCACACACAGTATACATGCAGGGAAAGGACAGTGGGCTTGTACCTCCCATTCTCACACTTCCCATACTCATGGTGGAATCATGGAGCATGTCTAGAGTAGGGTGACCAAAATGATGAAAGGTCTGGAAACCATGCCCTATGAGAGGCAACTTAGAGAGCTAGGTATGTTTAGCCTGGAGAACGGAAGGTAATATAGCCCTCATGGCACTCATATTGAGGATGGAGCAAGCTTGTTTTCTGCTGTTCCAGAGACTAGGAGACAGAACAATGGATGTAAAGTACGGGAAAAGAGATTCCACCTCAACGTTGAGGGTAAGAGGTGTTCAACAGTGAAACAGGCTGCCTTGGAGAGTGACAGAGTCTTCTTCTTTGGAAGTCTTTGAAATCCAAAACAACTTGAAGGCACACATCAACAACAAGCAACAGACTAACATTGCTATACCTTCATATTTTACATTAGTAGTTGCTGTCATGTAGGTTTGCAAGGGGACAAGGCATACCCTCTGACTGTCCCTATTTGGCAGGGCTGTACCACTTTTTCCCAGCTGTTTTGAAAATGTCCCAGTTTCTCTTTTTTCTTCCCACTTTTCACCTTTGCCCTCAACTTATGTCACTTTCTGCAAAGTGAGTTCAAAATGCAAAAGTAGTTTGCACTCCATTAACTCTGTATTGGGGAGAGAAGAAGAGGGGGGTGGACTCTTGTCCTTCCCGGTAGACAAAAGCAAACTGCTGCCGGCTCTCCTAGACTGTGTGTTCTTCCTCATTCATAGCTTCTGCCATCTTGACCACGCTCTGATGTTGTTTGGCCCCACGTGTCTCGGTTCTCATATCTGAAATGTTGGAGGGTATTGCCAAGAAAACCATAAGTTGGAAATGACTTGAAGGTACACAACAACAAATAGCAGTGTAACCCTCACTACCATGAGCAAATGGGAAGAACCACAAATATCAAAAGCAATTCAGACCTCCTGTGCCTGAGTCCAGAAGTACCCAATAATTGGTGCCTGATCATTATAGAAATCAATCAATCAATCAATCAATCAATCAATCAACTCTTGCTGGGAAGGAAAAGCTAGCTTTTCAGACCTACATAATGCCGACCAACCATCTCCTCTTTCTCTTGATAACAAAGGCCTTCCATTTCAGTTTTTGCTGGAGATACACACCGGTGCGGAAAGCTGCAGGCTTTGTTCCATAACTACTCCCTCAACTCCTTCCAGGTCATTTCTCTGAAGCTCTTCTACCTTTCTGTTGCCGTTCTTTCCCTCTCTACTTACTTAGCACTTACCGCTTTGGGACTATGGGAGGGGAGAATCTCTAGCTGGCAAAGACAAAAGATAAATAAAGTTCCCATTACTTATTTAGGAATTTCTTTTCCTCGTTCTATCATGGACCTCTCAAATTAAATTCTGCAAGCCTCTCTCATCCACGGTTCCACCTCCCCATTGACCTCAAACACCGTGTTTTCTCGCCTTCCTTTTTTCAGTTGAAAAAGATGGAGATGAGCAAAAGGTGGATACTAGGAATGGATATAGTCACCAGAGGCTGGCAATTGCTGTCCAGAGAAGACAGAAAGCTTGGGAAGATGGGGGAAGTTAAAATAGATGAAACAGAAGGCATCTCTATGGAATTCTTTTCACTAGGCTGGTTTAAAACATTCTTGTTGTCTGATCCTAGATGATAGGGTTGAATCCCAAACATGTGTGAGCAGGATTGCTGCTTCAGGAAGAAGGGAAAAGACAAGAGAAGAGCATCTCTCAGTGGAGAAATATGCAAGAGAAGTAAACAACAGGAATATAAGAGACTGTTGTTGCTGTAAGCTTTCAAGTTGTTTATGACTTAATGTGACCCTATCGTAGGGTTTTCTTGGGGGTTTCTTCAGAGGAGGTCTGCTATTGCCATCCCCTGAGGCTGAGAAAGTGAAACTTGCCCAAGGTCACCCAGTAGGTTTCCATGGCTGAGCCAGGATTCGAACCTTGGCCTTCCAGTGTCCTAGTCCAACGCTCAAACCACTATGCCACATTGTTTCCTCAATGAGGAAAAATATAAGAGATTGGAATATGTTACAACAGGGGTGAGCAAAATGTGGCTTGTGGGCTACTTTGGGCCTCTATAGCCCACTTTTCTGGCTCCAAAACTCACTAGTCAGTGTGGTGCAGTGGTTTCAGGGTTGGACTACAATGCTGGAGACCAGGGTTCGAATCCCAGCTCTGCCACTGAAACCCACTGGGTGACCTGGTGCAAATTACCCTCTCTTTGGCTGCATTCGCACTGCAGAAACAATGCCCTTTGACACCTTTTCAACTGCCCTGGCTCAACATTATGAAATTCTAGCAATTGCAGTTTGTTATGGCACTAGAGCTCTCTGACAAAGGTGGCTAAATATCCCAAAAATTCCATAGCATGGAGCCTTGACAGTTGAAGCAGTGTCCAACAGCATTATTTCTGCAGCGTGGATGCAAACCCAGCCTCAGAAGAAGGCAAAGGCAACCCCTCTCTGAACAAATATTGCAAAGAAAAAGCCATGACACTGTCACCACAAGTCATAAAAGAATTGAAGGCACAAACAACAACGAAGCTCACTAGTGTTCCAACTCCCATTCCCACCAAGATCCCCAAATATTTTTAAAAAATTGAGTAAATTTTGGGGTGCATTTCTTTTGCCATGAAACCACACCGAAAGCCTCTGAAACACATGGAAACAAATGCAAATACCCCCACTTTTACAAGGGCCCCCACACCATGGTTGCATCCTAGGGATTCCTGGGTTTTATAGTTTGCTGAGGCACCAGAGATCTTTGGATGGGATTTCGACATGTTCCCCCCCTCCCTAAACTTCTAATCCCAGAATTTCATGGGATGGGACTGTGACATTTCAAATGGAATCACAACACTATAATTCTGTGGTGTCAATGGGCTCCGGATCACGGCCAGTGATCTTTTCCATTACCTATGGCCTGATATTTCTTTTAAAAGTGGTGATACAGAGGGTTGTATTCTGGCTCCTGATGGATGGTAGCCAGATACACAGAGAGATATTTTCACTTTGCGTACTTGGAAACTGTCCAGTTCTTCATTTTCCTGCATTTGCTCTTTCCATAATCCATTTCCCAAATCCCTTTTTCTCATTCCTCTTATCTTGCTGCTATTCGGGGAACATTTGCAGAAGCAAATCCATCGCTTTGGCCTTTCTGAACTTATTTTGCTTTCTAATATAAAATTATTGCAAGATTGATTCTCCGTTTTAAATAGGTTTTCATGATTATTATTTTTTTAAAATATATTTTGGCTCTATGGTTTGGAAGGGAGGAGTGGGGAGAATAACAATACTAGAGACTTCTTTTGCTGTCCATCTTTTTACCTTTCCCTGCTTTGACTTGTCCCACATTCCCACTCCTTTGCAAAGGATATTTGATAGAGAAACTGGACTGCATATTTTCCAACATTTCATAGATGAAAACTGTCATGTGTGTGGCCCACATAGCAAAAGGTATTAATGAGGAAAGCTAGGAGAATTGCAGCAGTTTGCTTTTGCCTAAGCCCACTGGGAAGGGCAAGATTACAGCCCCTCTTCTTCTCCACCCCCCAGAATTAATGGAGTGCAAACTCCTTTTGCACTTTTTAACACTTTCCCCTTCCTCTCCTCTCCTCTCCAAGTGAGTTAACTGAGTGCCAACTACTTTTGCACTTGGAACTCTTTTTGCAACAACTGAAGTCAACTGAGGAAAAGGGGGAAAGTGGGAGGAAGAGACAGAAACTAGGACCTTTTAAAAGCATCTGAAAAAGTGGGATGACAGGATTACTCAGTACCGTGCCTGCCAAATTGGGATAGCCGGAGGGTATAGGATTAGAGATGACCTGCTGGTTATCTACTTAACAGCATGCACATTGATTAGGATTATCAGATGCTGTTTTATACTGAATCACACCTTTGGTCCATCTACTCTACTGGGAGACAGGAAGATGGGAAGTTGCTTTATACTGAATTAGGACTCCATATTGAATCTTCAAATTTTCAGATGGGATTCTTTCTTAGTTCGGACTGAACACGCCCTTTGTGGTCTGCAATCCAAATCCTAACCAGATCTGATTCTGCTTAGCTTCAAGAATTACAAGAGATCAGTGTGTCCAGGACAACATGATGATTTTCTGAGAACGTGCAATGGCTACACTAGGATGGTTTGAAGACCAAACTGTACTACAGATGGATGGACTCAGACAATGAAAACATGGCTCTTTGATGGCAGGACTCCAAGGACTGGTTCAAGTGAAGAAGTTTGCAAGACTTGGTTCACTTTCTGGTTTTATAAAAGGATTTTTCTGGGTCTAAAATGGTCCAGAGAGGGCATTTGGGGGCAAATGAAAATTTCAAAAGAAATCCAACAACATTTTTTTTTGGTGGGGGGGGGAATTACAAAACAAGTTGACCCCTGTGGGCCCTATAGGCCCACAAAAATGGTCCTGGGGGTCATATGTCCACCCCTGGGCTAGAGATTGGGCAAAGGGAAGAAGGCTGGTTGACCAAGCGCTGGTCCTCTGACATCCTTTCAGTAAGCCACTTTCATCTGCTATTACTTCTTGATGATTAACTTTTAAGATAAGCTGGAAAGCTTTTGCTCTCACCATAGGAAAAGGTCTTCACACAATTACCATCCTCCAGCTCAAGGGAAAATGCCAAATGCTAATGTTAAAAGCCTGAGAAACCCTAGTCCTACCTCACCCTGCCTTTCACGTCATTCCCTTTCCCTGCTAAATAATTGAAAGGAGAGTCCATCAAGTCAAAATAGCAGGTTTGACGGAAAACCTGATTTAGGGGCTCTTTAAAACCAAAGACCAAAGAAAGAAGCTGGATGACCTCATTGCAAATGTCAGGGGTGTTAACAGTAGAAAGCGGGGGAGGGGGGGACAACAACATCAAAGCCAAAATGTACTGATGTTGGGGAGGATGAGAACTGATTTACCAAATGTTTTAGTAGAATCATAGAATCATAGAGTTGGAAGAGACCCCAAGGGCCATCCAATCCAACCCCATTTTGCCATGCAGGAACTCTCAATCAAAGCATCCCTGACAGATTGCCATCCAGCCTCTGTTTAAAGACCTCCGAGGGAGTGTGTTCCACCATTGAACAGCTCTTACTGTCAGGAAGTTCCTCCTAATTTTGAGGTGGAATCTCTTTTCTTGTAGTTCCCATCCATTGTTCAGTGTCCTATTCTCTGGAGCAGCAGAGAACAAGTTGGATCTATTCTTATGACATTCCTTCAAATATTTAAAGAGGGATATCATATCACCTCTTGAAAACCATCTCTTCTCCAAGCTAAACATATCCAGCTCCCGAAGTCTCTCCTCATAGGGCTTCATGGTTTCCAGACACTTTACCATGTTAGTTGCCCTCCTCTGGACATGCTCCAGCTTGCCAGGAATGAAGGATGAAGTCAAATATTACTTCGTGGAAGGTTAATAACAGTGCATTAAAACCCCACTTAAATGCCTCTTACGTCTTGCACAATATAACCACAAGGAACGTCCATGTCCAAACATCACCACATACATCAGCTTCCAGCACAGATGTACACTGTAATGTCACAGAGAGCAAGCCTTGGTGATAGTCATTAAATACGTTTACTTTAAGCATTGACCACAGCAACACAGGGGATGCCACTCAAATTGGCACCAAGTCACTTAAGTGAGTAATGCACACACACACACTTTTCAAGGCAGCGTTCTTGCCCTAAGATTCTTCCTTCTTGCCCTGAGGACCTGAGAAGAGGGGCCAAGTGCTGAGATTCAGAGCCGGGCCCTGAGACCTTATGCATATTTCATGGGGCTGCCATGTTTTTGGTCCAAAAATGCCCTCTAGGGATGTGTGGAAGGCATTTCTACTACATTTGGAGCCCTCCTGGATCCTCTAGAGGTCAACACATTTTTTTGCATTTTTTAAAAGACATTTGTCCCCCTTGAAATACCCCCAAATGCTCTCTAGGGGCTGGGGCATTTCTATCACATTTGGAGGAGGGCATCTGGGCCAATTTTTCAAAGTGACTTCCGCTCACTTCATGCTATAGTTACGCTAGAAATAAGAATGATTTTCCTTTCCTGCATAAATGCTAGGTGAGTGAAAATTATACCAATTATGCTGGAGTTAGTTGCACGGACTTGTGGCGCTGCACCCAAGTATTCTTCCATGGTGCTAAAGACAATCCAACTCCACAGCCAACACTAAGGTCCATGTTTAGAGGTAATCTCCCAGGTAATAGCTTGCACAACTGTTACATTGCACAACCTTATACAACCTCAAACAGGACACCACCCTTTCACAACATCTGAGAAAGTTCAACAGTTTGCATGGCATCATTTACACCAGCGTAAGCCACAACACAATTCCAGGCTCAGTTCTCACTTTCATACCAGCCTAGCTCAGCACAAATCTACAGAGACATGTTGTTCGGGGAGAAATTTGTGCTCTCCAGAAAGAGTTATGTGTATGGATTTTGCCTTCACACGGATGTTCTGAAAAGCAAATTTTCCAGCAGCCACATTAATTAACAAGTCTTCCATTGCAGCCAAAACCATTTCGCTTTAGGAAACAAAGATCTTACAAACAACCCTTTCAGAGTCTTGGAACAAAGAACACCATAAAAGAAGCCAGAAGAAATGCCAACCTTTTGCTTTGGTGCCAGCCAAGTCCTTCTTTTCAAATCTCTCTTTCATTAAGAGGTAATTTACCTCCGTTGCATTTCAGGCAATGTTATTTTGACAGAGAAAGACGTGAACACATGAGTCAGGTTGGTAAAAGTGGAGGTAACTGGGCAATAGGGACTAATTTCACTCCCATAGGAAGCAACAAGCAATTTTAGCAATTATTTTCCCGGTAAAAGAAAGTCTTCAAAAACTGCATTGTTGCCGAAAACTGCTTCCAATTTGGGATCTATTGTGCAAAATTCACACATGGTATTTTTGCACAGAAACCAGCATTTTCTGTGCAGGAAACAGCCTGTTTGGCACAGACACACAAAAAGAATATGTGCAAATATTATGTGCAAATTATAAAAATATATATTTCTGCACAAAACGCCATGTGAGATTTTTGTGTAGAAGTCCTGAACTGTGAAGATTCTCATCAATCCAGGATTCTCCTTGTGAATCTCAACACTAGAGAAACATGATTTTGATCATTTCTCAAAGATTTTTAAAATATTCTTTCTATCCCTGTTGAAG